ATAGATTAGCCTAGCATATAGCATCTCAGTACAGGAGGAAATTGGGATTGAACCAGCAACCTTTAGGTCACACACTCGCTTTGCAAAGCTTTAGACGACCACTGCCCTGTGATCAACTGATTAATTAATTGGCTGATGATTGCAGCTCCTGTTAGATACAGTCTGTGTCTGTTGAGTTATTTTCAGGCAGCACTTTCACTCTTGCTGTGGATCTTCTCTCTCGGTCTGCTCAGCCGGCTCCTCTTAATCCAGTTACAGGATCAGTCGGGATTAAAGCGAGTTACAGATTCAGTGGATGAACAGCGAGGCGAAGTTGATCTAACTCACTCTGCAACAAGACAAACAGAGGAGTGGACCGACCTGTCCTGTCCCTCAGGTGTATTCGACTCCTCCCACTCCCACTCTCCTGCCAGCAGTTGGTTCATTGTGAGCCAGGTATCAGTCTCAACATGTTGCTGCTGCCTCACTTTAACACACTTCTTATCAGACTTTTACGAGCCATAAATCAAACATTAAATAATTTGTCGTGTGAGAGATTACTGCTCGTGGTAACACATTGTAGTTTAACACCAGATCTGTTTACAGCCGGTTGATTGACAGCTGCGATGGAACATTTCAATTCCAGTGTTTTAGGTTTTCTTTAAAAGATATTGTGTTAAATGAACTATTAATACAGGTGAGAATGTATATTATCATAAAACAGAATATAAACACATGAATAACCCCCTCCAGACATGTTTTAGTACACACACATAAATAATCTGCTTTAAATAATCATTTGTGTCTCATATAAGAACGTTTTCTCCTCCGTCGTTGAATCTATGAACATTTAAACAGGATGTCTCTGTCACTGGAAAGTCTCAGTGCAAGTTGTATCCTGGATCCTGATTGGCTCTTTTAATAGAAGTAAAGATAAAACCTCCATCTTTACATCCACATATTTTTAAACCATGTTTCAGTCTCTGAACTGTTTTGTTCTGACTCATTTTCACCTCAGACTGTGAACAGCTAATCCTCTGAAGATCAGTTAACGCTGTCAGAGCTCCACTGTGAACTGATTCTGTACTAGAAGTCTATCCTGTGTCACCGTCAACCAGAGGACAA